CATCCATCCATCTATCCATCCATCCATCCATCCATCTATCCATCCATCCATCCATCCATCTCTCTATCCATCTATCCATCTATCCATCTCTCTATATCATCATCATCTGTCTGTCTGTAGTACTGGGGATTGAACACAGGGGCTTTACACTTTCACACTGAGCTACATCACCTGTCTTCCTTCCTTCCTTTCTTCCTCCCCACTTCTTTCTTTTGAGATAGGATCTCACTAAGTCACTAAGTTGCCCAGGTTGGGCTTAAACTTGTAATCCTCCTGCCTCAGCCTCCCACAGTTCCAGGATTACAGGTATGTACCATGAGGCCTGGCTAGACATGAATCCTAATGTCCCTCCCGGTTCCTTGCCTTTTCCAGAGTCAAGTTATGCCTGTCCACACCCTGGGTCCAAGTATCCATCATCTTCACTCCGGTCTCTGTCACCTTCACTAGATGTGTGTCATCTTTACTGTGGTGTTGGGGCACCTTCTAGCAAAGCAGTGATTCATGAGCCTCTCTTGGGGCTGGGCAGAGCCTTGCCCTTCTGAGCTGTGCCCATGGGGTGGCCCAGAGTAGAGTCCCATGTTACAGATGAGCAGACTGAGGTGCAGAGACTTGGAAGCACATTTCTTGATCCTGCAGTCTGAGATGGGAGAGTGAGAGGATAACTGGAGGCCTCCCCAAAGCCACCTGTCCTGCTGGGCACAAGGTGGAATCCCTGAGGCCATGGCTTTCCTTTGCCCTCACCTGCAGTTCTTTGATGTGGCAGCATGAGCAACCATAATAAGCACAGAGCTGGCTTCCCAACTGACCAAGCTTCCCACTTGTGTGCTCTGTGAGCCTGAGGCCTGAGTGCAGCCCTCTGGGGGAAACCAGCCCAGTGCCTCCCTCACCCATCTGCGGTGCCATCCTCGGCTAGGGCCTGCCCTGCACCCTCCGAGGCACATAGTTGTACCTCTGGAAACCCCCTGTGGAAAACACAAACTCACAATGACTCTGCAAGTTGACAAATATTGTTTCCCCAAAATAGGCCAGTGGGGAGGAACCGGCAGATGGTGGCAATCAGGAGACAGACCCATCAGGCCTCCGCAGCTGGTGCCTTGCTCGTACCTATTTGTTCACAGGTGTGTGTATGTGCACACACATATTATGCACAAACATGTAAGCACGTGCTATGTGTGCATAAGCATGCTGCACTTGTGCATGTGTGGTGAGGGAAGGCGTGTGTGTGGAGGGCACACGAACATCTGAACATCCACTCTGCAGCCCCTTCACTGCCAGGGGAGTCTTGCTTCTGGCCCTCAGCTCATTTGCAGAATGGGGGTGGTGACCGTGTGGAATCACAGGTGAGGCTTGGGGAGACTCCCTGGGGTGCATCCGTCAGAGGAGCTGCCTGTCATGTTGTGTGAGGCAGGAGGGCAGGGGTCTGACAACAGAAGCCAGGGTCCCCCAAGCCTTCTGATCTGTTTGGTCTCCCTGTGTCCACAAGTGACTTTCCAGGACAGCCCTGAGGCAAGATGGGCAGTCACCTCCAGTTCCACATGGCCAACCCCAGGCCCAAGGAGGGCACAAGGAACCAGCACCCAGGACTTGGATGAACAATGCCATTTTTCATCTCAGAGGTCTTCAAGGCTGGTGGACTGCCCTGTTCTCAGAGTCCACATCCCTGTTCACTTGGCGAGGCTGGCCCTTGTGGGTCAGGACAGGATGCATGTTTGCTTCCTGCCTCAGGCTGTGACTCTTGCTGTGTTTCTGGTCCCTAGACCCCACAGCCCGTCCTTGGCAGTGCTGACTCCTCATCCTCTCCATGGGCCCCAACCCATAGGCCCTGGGACTTCCACTCTCAGCACACAGCAGCTGGCCAGGCTGTGCAGGAGCCAAGGGACTGGATGGCGATCCAGAGGCCAAGGGAAGGGCGCTTGCAAGGAGGGTGTGGGGCACAGGGTTTCCTTAGACAATCACAAGAAGGGAACAGGAACAAGGTAGATGGAGCTCAGACCTGACCTAACATCCTGTCTTCCCCTCGACAGTGGCCCCTCCTCTGGGCCTCAGTTTCCCCATTGGGAAAGTAAGAATTATGGTTCTAATCTTCTGGGAATATAGGAATTGAAGTTGACACATGTGAACACTTGGGGAAGCTGATGCCCCTAGACCTATAGCACCCACCACTGCCCCAGACCCACAGCCTGGGCTCACAGACAGCTGGGGCGCCCAGGCCAGGGCCTCACAGAGCTGCCAAGCTCCCGGTGACAGGACCCCATCCTTGCACCTTGCCCTACAGGGCTACAGAGGGAGACTCGGTGATGGGAACCACCAAGGGCAGGGAACAGCCAAGAAGGCTCTGAGGGGTGGCAGGGGAGGGGATGGAGGGGGACATCTGAGGTGGGAGGGCCACGTGAGGCAGGGGAAATGGTGTGGGAGAAACATCTGTGGGGAGGGGACTGAGTCAGAGAGGACACGTGTCCTGGGGAGGCTGAGGTGGTGTGCATCCTGCCCTGGGCCTGGGCCAAGGACTGGCCTGGGAGAGGCCAGGGCCACATGGGGGCCTAGCCCCAGCTGGCACAGCCCAGTCACTGCCCGCCACAAGGGAGCAAGTCAGATGGAGAGGACTCAGCGTTTACTGTCATCAAGCACCTTGTAGGGTGAAGGTGATGTGCTTTGCAGAGAAATTATAAATAATGAAAAGGAAACATTTAGGAAAAGAAATGCCAGCCCCTTGGCAGGCAGTGGGGCTATTCTTTGGTTGGACAGTGGGCGAGGCCTGCCGTCTGGGTCCATCATAGCCCGCCGAGGTTGTCTGCTAGGAAGGCCAGGAGGTAGCGGCTGACATGCCTGTCGATGATGACTGGTGAGAAGCCGAGGATGCGCCGGGTCCCTGGCAGCACCTTGGGGTCTGGAGACAGAGAGTGGCGGTCACAGAGGTAAACTCTGATCTGCACTCGCAGGGCCCTAAGGGGGCTGGAGCAGGTCGAGCCCTGCCACTGTCACCCCCTCCCACTCAGACCCTGGAGGTTCCGTCTTCCGTGAGCGGCCTGTGCAGGCTTTGGGGTGCAGGGCCCTGTGGGTGCACACCTGGGCCCACACTCAGAGGCCCTCCCAGCGTGACAGACTCGGGCATCACAGGGAAGAGGGGTTCTAAGCCATGTGACCTCCGAGGCCTCCTTCCCATAGGGCCTACGACACCATGGGAGGAAAGACCCCAGGATGCAGGGCAGGCGACCTGATCCGTGTGGCTCCAGGCCACAGGTGTGGCAAGGCTTTCTAACCACCAGAGCCGCCTCCTCTCCAAAGAATAACCATCTGATTCTGGGGGTAACAGAAGCCACAAGGCTGCGGGCTGTACACACTCGACTTCTCTGGTTCTCTACAGCTGCAGAGGTGGGGCACCGAGGCGTGAGGGGCCAAGGTGCCCCCACTTCGCACAGGGGTTGGGGCCCATCCAGTCGGCCCTGGCCGGAGCACCCACCTGGAGGGCAGCAGTACAGCAGTAGGGCAAGGCCGGCGGCCAGGCCGAGGCCAGCCAGGAAGCTCATGGGTCCTGGGGAGGAATGAGCACAAGAATGAGGGCCAGGCCAGCAGGCACAAAAGGGACTGTCACCAACAGAAAGCCAGGAATGGAGCCCAACTTGGGATGGAGAAGCCCCTGGGACAGAGACAGAGCCCTGGGGGAAGAGAGAGAGACAGACAGGAAGGGGGAGGGAGGCGGCGGGGGCGTTACCCCTGTCACTCAGCCCGTGGTTCTCGCTGCCCCAGTCAAGCTCTGTACAATCTGAGTTCTCTGGAACAGAATCACAGGGCACGGTTAGTTGCAGGGTGGGCCTGAGAGCCGGGTGGTGGCCCCCAGGGGAGCCCGAGGCCATTTCCACCTCCCGAGGCTGCTGGGCCCTGACACAGTCTTGCACAGCCACCGCAGGGTAGTAAGATGGCCAGGCCAGGGAATGATGAGGTCAGGCCCTTTCGGGGAGCCTGCAGTTTGGGGTCTTCTCCTTCAGTCCAGCACCTGTGACAAAAGGACTAGCATTCCTGTTGGCCACAAGACCCCAAAAGTAGCATGAATATTCACTGTTGAAAGCCAACCACGGTCATCTTGGTGACTATCTCTCCAGGTGCAGCTGAGCAGCGAGCTTCTCCTCAGACCACCCCGTGGGCCCTTCCAGGTTACTCTACCCTCTGGACAGGCCCTGGGGGCACCTAGGAGCCTCAGAAAATGCTGTACCTCGGGCAGAGCTGTGCTTTGGCCTCAGCTATGTTCTGGAAAACTCATGGAGCCCTCACAGGGGGTTAAGGCCTATCTACCTGCCCTCGGGTGTCCACACTGCATCTGGCCTCCTCCTCAGGCCCCTAAATGGAGCCACCACCCCAGGCTTGCAGTGCCTTCTAAGGCTGCAGATATTCAGAAGACCCCAACCCTAGGGACCTGTAGTCTCCTGAGGCCTGGGGGATACTTCATGGGGACAAGACCCTCTAAACCACAATACACAAGGTCAACCAGCCACCCATGCCCAAGGGTGCCCTACAGAAACTCCGGCATGCGTAGGTGGACTGTGGCAAAAGGCGGCACCACCCTGGTGTCCGCTGTTGAGTCTGAGTAACTCAAGGCTGGGACAGCCTCAGGAGCACCATGTGGTGGTGAGGACAGGGCTGCTGTCAGCACGGAAATGAAGAGATCCTCACAGTGGTGAGGGTAAAAAAGGAAGGAGGACAGGCTGTATGGGACACCAGCTTCAGGGTGAAAACAGGCATGAGAACAAGGGACAGAAAGGAGAGAGAGAGACGCAGGTGAGACCTGCATGCCCTTCCTGGAGGCCAGGGATGTTCCTAGGGAGGGCCAGGAGACACCCAGGCCAGAATCGGGGCCAAGGACGTTCTTGCTGTCAGCAGTCAACCAATGCCCCAGCCCAGCACGAGCGTCAGTGGTGGGGACAGGGACTTACGCAGGGTGTGGCGGCTGGGCAGGTGGCCGTGCAGGGGCTGGGCGTGGATGTACAGGGCTCGGTAGAACTCCTGGCAATGCCGCTCACCGCTCCGCTGCAGGTGGCTCAGGAGGTCACAGAGCCGCAAGCGCAGCGATGCCTTGGGGTTCCGGAACTGAGGGTGGGAGGAAGGAAGAGCAGGCTGGGACGCGGCTACAGGTCATGGTGGGGCACTGGGCGCCGGCCCCAGCTTCAGCGTCCTCACCAGGTGCACAGTACCCACGGGACAGCATCACACGCAGCCCCATACTTCCTTGTCCCCACCTAGCAGCCGCAGCTTTACGGCTACTCCTCATTCCCTGTGGGGAGGAAGGTGGGAACCTGAGGCTGGAGAGGTTATTGAGAAAGCACAGGGCAGGGGACAGCGTCCTAAGTGATAGGACTTGGAGTGGCTTCCTCTGTGACCTCAGTACGTCACTTCAACCCTCTGAGACTTTTCACTTGTACAAAGGGGAAACAAAAACCCCACAACCGAGGGTCTTATAGGAATGAATGAAGTAACAGAATAAGTGATAACATCTATTGTTTGGCAATTTGTAAGAAAGAAATTCGGATATTTAAAAATTAGTTGGGGAAGAGCTGGTTCTTTTTAATGCATTTGATAGAGAAACTGGTTGTAAAGGCCAGGGGACAGGGCACTTGACACTGACCCAGGGACCCAGAGCCTGTGGCATGGTGCTGCCCCCTGGTGGCAGTACACACTGACTGTGGAAACGTAAAGCAAATAGATGAATTACAGGGGCCTCTTTTTCCTGCATAAACATCTAATTTTTTCCCCTAAATTTCCAAAATGGTCATGTAGTAGGCTTCTAATTGCACTGAGATCAACTCAAGTCCATCACTTCTTTGTTTATTTGTTATGGGGTTTCACTATGCTGCCCAGGGTGGTCTCAAACTCCTGGGCTCAAGGGATTCTCCTCCCTCAGCCTCCTGACACTACAAGTGTTGACACCACGCCTGGCTGAGCCCATTGTTTTTAAATGCAGACAGTGTCTGAGCCCATGTTGACTCCTGTTCTGTCCTCACCAACTCACCTGCCCCAGGAAAGACCCTAAACCTCAGCACATCCCTGCCAGTGGCACTGTACCTGCCACGTCATATGAGGAAACTACAGCTCCAAGAAGGAAAGTACTCACTTAGTGAGGAGGCTAGGGGCAAGCCCTGGAACCCAAAGGCCTGGTAGGTCCCTGGCAACCAGCTCCAGCCCTAGTCCTGGTGACTACAGCCAGGAGCCAGTGGCTCAGGATAGGAGCTGGAGCTTGGGAGAGGGTGTGCCCAACTCTTTCACCCAGAGTCTCTGAGACCAGAGCCACCTTAGGGTCCCCCAGCCCTGGGAGACTGGGCAGGATGAGACCTGGGACAGAGCCAGAAAGTTGCATTTGGAATGTCATCTGCAGTAGGGCCTGCTGGCGTGTCCACAGCTCTGAGGTCAGGATCTGGCTAACCTCTGGAGATAGGTGACCCTGGGCTGGAGATGGCGTCAGTAGCATACTCCATAAAACAAGGTGTCGGCCATGCCTACTTGCAGGGCTGTAGTGTGAATCAGGGACAATCTGGGGAGGAGGGTGGTTGGCAGCTTTTTACCTGGCTTTTGTGCTCGTTCCACACATGGGGACACTAAGATTCCCAGTGAGACCAGGCCCCCTCAGCACCGAGGGGCGAACCTGGCTGTGGGTCAGGGTCAACACTGCCTGACTGGGGCTAACACCCACCTTGAATGGGCTGGGCCTTCCCACCCACAGGCAGGGACGAAGTGAGTAGAAAAAAGCAGCATTTTGACCTCTGGAAGATGCACAGTGAGGAGCTGCTGTGTGGCGCCGGGATGACACCAGGCCTGGACTGCTGATCCCTCCTTCCTCAGCCCTCCTGGTTTGCTCCTGCTCTACTGTCATGTTTACTGTACACTGCCACGTGTTGTCACATGTTGCTATGCCAGCAGGCATGAGGGCATATGGAGAAACTGAGGTACAGACCTTTGGGGGCCATTCTGGACCACTCCAAAGAGACAGCTTTAAGCACAGGCAACCAGCCCAGGTGTGTCACCTGCGAGCTACCCTGAAACATCAGGTGTGCCTTCCCGAGACGACCCAGGGCCAGCAGCTGGCTCCTCCCAGCCCAGCAAGGAAGGGAACCCGAGAGGTGTGTGGGGCACCCCCACCCTCACCTCCTCAGCACCTTTTCGGCCTCCTTGTTGGTGAGCACCTGTGGGTAGTAGCGGTTCAGCTGAAGGACGATTCTGTCCACCTGCTGCTCACTCAGGCGCCCCTGGCCTGTCAGGAACGGTGTGTCCTGCACCAGGCGGTCACAGTAAGTCTGATCTGGAACAGACATGGGGAGTGCAGAGGGTGAGCAAGTGCAAGCCTGAGGGGGCCCAAAAACAGCAGCCATGGTGCTGACCACCGGAGGCCCCAGGCCTGCAGGAGGGAGACAATCTCTGGAAGGCACCTGCAGAAATGTGACATCCCAGACTGCGTGGTGGGCATCACATAGGGAGAACTACCCCAGCCTGCCAACCCACCTGGGCAGAAGATGCAAGTGGCAGGAGGTGGAGCAGGAATCCAGAAATGGCTGTACTCCCTGCCCCTCTCCTATGTCCAAGAGCTGATCGCGGAAAATAGACTTTCAGAGCTAAAGAATGTGCCATCTACCGGGCCACCCACAGGGCCATCTAGAAATAGGTGGGGCCCAGGGAGGCCATGGGCAGCTCACTGAAGACCAGGACATGGGCTTTACAGCTCCCTCCAGCTGCAGGAACAGATAGAGGAACACAGGGCTCAGTGTGGCCTATGCTGGCATCACCAAGGGACAAGACATGTCTAGAAGGCTTTAAGAAGCTTCTGCCAGCCACAAATTAGCCTGCCTTCCCAGGGAGTGGGCTGTTTTTTTAAAATCTTATCTCTCAGAGTCACCACTAAAGCACATCTTCCCCTTAAGAACGCTCTGTAGACAGGCAGGTCTGTCACACTGAGGTCAGTGTAGAGGTGGGCAGGCTCAGGGAGCACAAGATCCCCATGGGAGACAAACAGGTACCTTGCCTTGCACATCTCCAGCCACTTGTCCTGATACCCCAAGTACACAGGGGCTGGAGGAAAGGGGCTTTGTGGTATATTTTATATATGTGATTGAGGTTAGGTTGGTATCAATTCAAATTAGATTGTTACAACCTTAGGATACTATATAATCTTCATATTAATCACAAAGAAAATATCTATAGAATATAAACAAGATAAGTAAGAAGTGAGAGGAGAATAAACATCCATTACTACAAAAAAGTCAACTGAACACCAAAGAAGGCAGTAATGAAAGAAATTAGGGTCAAAAAAAGCCACAAGAGAGGGCCGGGGATTTAGCTCAGTGGTTCTACTGCCTGCCCTGCAAGCATAAGGCCCAGAGTTCAATCCCTAGTACCAAAAAAAAAGCCACAAGAGGGCCAGGGATTTAGCTTAGGGGTGCCACTGCCTGCCTGGCAAGTGCAAAGTCCTGCGTTCAATCCCCGGCACCAAAAAAAAAAAAAAGCCACAAGACATACAGAAAATGCTGTCTACAAGAGACTCATTTTAAATCTAAAGATATGATTAAGTTAAAAGTGAAGGGATGCAAAAAAAGATATTCCATATAAGTAATAACCAAAAGAGTAGGATGACTACACAAATATCAATTTTTAAGCAAAAAACTGTTAATAGAAAAAAACTACATTATGTATTAATAACAGGGTTAATTCACTAAGAATATATAATTATAACAATTACAAACATATGCTGAGGCAGGAAGTCACAAGTTGAAACCTAGTCTTGGCAATTCATTGAGACCCTGTCTCAAAATAAAAATAAAAAGGCCTGGGAAGCAAAGCTTCCAAATTCATTCCTGGAAGCAAGTATTACTTTGATTCCAAAACCGGGGAAAGATACAACCCAAAAAGAGAACTACAGGCCAATCTCCCTAATGATCACAGATGCAAAAATCCTCAACAAGATACTGGCAAACAGAATACAGAGGGTCATCAAAAAGATCATATACGAGGGCCGGGGATTTAGCTCAGTGGTTTCGCCGCCTGCTGCGCAAGCACAAGGACCTGAGTTCGATCCCCGGTACCAAAAAAAAAAA